AGGGGCAGGGGCGGGGCTAGGGCAGGACGGGGGCGGGGCTCCTCCCGTCGTCTTTTTTGCTTGCTGAAATATGGTAACCCTAATGATATTTGTAAACTCATGTTGTGTAAATTTTCTTAAACTTTCTTTGATTTATATGTAACATTTATTGAATTTGTATAAGAGATCAGTTACCTCAGATGCTGTTTAACTATGTAAGAGGCCCCAGAAAAGAGGACAGACAATTCCAAAACATGGGTAGAGGAAAAAGTCCTTTGAAATTGACAGTGCTTGGTGACTGATCATACTGAGAGGAAATAGACATTTTTAATCATCTCCCTCAAATTTCTCATCCTACATAGTTTTAAACTTTACATTAACTTTACACTAAATAAATACCTTTCGTACTTTCAGTATTATTTGTGACCTAGTTGTGTGAGTTTCAAAATCTTTCATCTTTGGTTGGCAGGGATGCTTTTAAGGATCAGGCAACCTTAATAATACCAACTCCATCTATATATCTGTTTTTAGAACTGCCTTTTTTCACTTTGTTAAATCTTTTATAACAGCAATAACATGAAAGAATAGGTGGAGGCTGGATTCCGATCTCTGTTCGACAGCGTAAATCCAAAGTAACTCCATTGTCTTCAGTGATTTTACTCCAGATTTACACTGTTACACTGAAAACAGATCCTATTTGTGTTCATTGGTCAATATCCAGTATCTTCTCAGGTATGCATATATGAATTTGACATTGACTTAATTGAAATCAGGACTAACTGTTATTGGCCAATGAACATGTTTTTTATTTGCTGAGCCTCCCAAATGTTCTAGACATCATACAGCCAAATAAAAAAGCATCGGACCTGCCCTGAAGAATTTGTAGTCTAGTAACATTAATTTAGGCCCCAATCCTGCAAACTGCTTTGCCTGAGGGAACCTCTACTCCTGTGCAGACATCAGTGTAGTTCAGGGGCTGCAATGTTGGCACGCGGCTCGCCAGGGTAAGCACCCTGGCGGGCCGGGCCAGTTTTATTTACCTGCTGACGCGGCAGGTTCGGCCTATCGCGGTCCCCAGGGGCCGCGGTTCGCCGTCCTGGGCCAATGGCGGTGGCGAGAAGCGGCGCAGGCGAGCGATGTGCTGGCTGCGGCTTCTTGCTGCCCCCATTGGCCCAGGACGGCGAACCGCGGCC